TAGCTTGAATACCACAGTTCTTCATTTGGCCTTTGCTGAAAACACAAGCAAAAGCACGGCTAGACCCAAATTAACAAAGGAAGAACAGTCGATTCTAAAACCCCGATATACACTATTTACGATTTCTTTCATCTATAGGCTAATCTTTCTGTCATTGTCATCAATAAAAGTACGCCACGGTAATTGGTATCTTTACTTCTTCCTTATAATATTCCTGTGACAATTTTATTTCAGCATTCCTCTTCCTTAATTTCGCAAAGATACTACTGTGTTCCGAACCGAGGCTTTCACGTGACGGTAGCTTTGAACAAAACAGCTTTAAAAAGCTTTGAACAAAAGCTACCTTTTCAAACAATCTTGCTTTAAAAAAAGGAACATAGCTCACCAATCCTGTCAAGGAACGATGTGGCAAGTCTCGACTTTGCCAGGAAGCTGCAAGAGCTAATACAGCTTGCACAGCAATATATAAACCAGGTACGTTGAATGATTCAAACATTATTTCAGCCGTATATTCACGATTTTCCGGGGTATTTAAAGGTGGCTCAGTCTGAAAACACTTAAAATTGATAACAGGAGTTCCCAAATTAAAAAAAGTTTTTCACGGAAAAAAAATCAATTAAGACTATTGTTAGACCTTGATCACTCAATGTAATTGTTAAGTTAGTAGAAAATAAAAAAGAAATAAAGTTAAATGAATTCTAACCAACAAGTTCATTTCTGGGAATAATACTTAGTGCGTAAAAAATAGTTTTTGATATTAAATCAATCATTTCAATTTTCTTAACTTCAAACTGAAAATTGTTAGTTAAAAGATAACACTAGATGAATCATATTAGTTAGTATGGACAAAGGCAAGACACTACAAACCAATAGAAAATAGTGATCTTCTGGTTCAGCTCGCAGATATTTGAAAATGCATTGTTCCCAAAATCGTTCCATTAAATCCCAATCTTCCACAATTCCATGACGGATTGGATACTATAAATAAAAAGAGAAATAAACGAAATATAATTAATCGAATCTAATTCTTTTCTAAATCTGGAAGGAATAAAATCATAACCACTCGCACAAATATCCGTATTTTCGAATTAAACAACCATTCACTTGAAGAAAATATACCGATGATTAACTGATGATTAACTTGAAGAAAACTATACTTTGACAGCATAATTAGCAGCGCTCGGCGAAAGTGCTTCATCACCGATGTAGAAGTCAAGATCTTCAATCCGTGAACTAGTATTTGCATTCCATCGCAATGCTGATGATTGAGAACCTACCTTCTCTCGTATTGCTATTGCTGCAAAGTGAGGAATTTATATGCACAAGATGGTAAATCAAAATTATAAAATATAAACAAGTATGAAATATAAAACACTATTCTAATTTTTGGAGAAGTTTGCAGGAAAAAGCAAAACTGCTAGCCTGAAGGAATAATAAATTGAGGTTCGGAATTTCCTGCATAACCAAGTTTCGTATACCTGAAATTATTATTAATTATAAGATGCTCATTTCATCAGCTTTTCTTTAATAGTTTAATTTTGCATCTTTAATCTCTAACACAATGGTTTTATCTAAAGTTATCCTTTCCATATTTCTCCCGTGTACTGTTACGGCAATATGCATGACTATTAACCGATAGTGCCGTTTCTGACTATTAATATAATTCCGATATATGTAATTTCAATGCAAATCTCCAATCAAAATTGATGTTTAATATTAAAATATGGTAGAAATTTACGAGTTTTTTTCCACATGTGTTAAAATGTGTTAGAACGGAAACGAATGGAAATACTTGAATCAAAAGTTAAAAAATAACAGAACAATGGATAATTGTTAACCCCGTTCCATTATCAATGACACACGCCGGTAATCGACCAGCAGCCATTTCCGGATATCCCAGTAATGGACACCTTTTTGCACTTAGCTGCTATATCACCGCTAGTATGCTGAGAAATGATGTTGAACTTCCCTGAAAACATAACAGTTTAATCTTCCATCTCCTTAGAAAAAAAAACTAGCGTACATAAACAGTACAACACAATTCAATTTATTTCGATTCAAATATCAAGAAAAAAAACTTTTCATAACTTAAAATTTCAAAAAAATTCTACGCCATCACAAGTTCTAAGAAAATTATTTAATTATAAATTGAAAAGGAAAATTCCCACAACTTCAAAACCGATGTTTGCACAAAGTTAGATTCTGGCAATTTCCGAAGAAAGGGATCTCTGTAATCATAAGTTTTGATGGCAAAACTAAACAGGAAATTATTGAAAATAATGCAAAGTACTGATTCGACTATATTATTCGACTGCGAGCATTAGGGGACATTACCACCAGTATAACTGGGTATGATAAGAGAAAATGAGAATGATTATAGGTTTTAAGAAAAAATAAGCGTAAGGCAATAAGCGAAAATGAAAACAAATGTTTGAAATAAATGCTCACTTGTATACGAGAGTAAGCATTTTAACAAAGAAGATTAAAAAAACAAGGGTCAATAAACAACAAATATTTAAATAATGACAAATTGTTACTGTGCATGAAAAGATCAATGGGATAATTAACTGATTAAATAGGGAAGTAAAAAGAAGAGTGAATTGTACTGTTCACTAAAACATTTAGTTTTTTTTTTTTTTAGATATTATTAAAAAGGTGATTTTCAGGGC